GAAGTTAACAGTGGCATTGCAACTGTTGCTCACATGAGAGGTGAGCGTCTAGGCGACATCAGGTTCCAGAAGTGTCTTGATGAATGTCACTTAATTTAGCTTATCACATTCCCAACCTACCGTAGTAGTCGACACGTCGAGCCTACTAGTACACTCAACCTTATTATAATAAATGAGCCAGACCGTGTAATCTTCATTAAACAAGGCGATTCTCAAATCAAGCACACTGATTCATCGAAGGCCAATTTACAGTTGCATGCCTCAACAATTCGCCAACATTGCCGCTAAAACCTCGAATCATTTGGAGCCGAGCAAACTACGCAGCAATATCAGCACATATTGCAGCTGTTGACTGGGAAACAGTATTCACTGGACTATATGCAAACGAAAATTATCAACTTCTAGTAAACGTGTACAATGAAGCCACTAACTTACACATTCCGTCAACTACCACTCCCTTTACAGGAAAACAGGAGCAATGAGTAACACCAGAACTTATTGAGGCGGTCAAAGCTAAACGCACCTCTTGGGCCAAGTACATTAATGCAGGTCGAGATACGCACAAATTTCTCAAAATATCACATCGAACTGCCTGCAAAAAAGTTAAAAAAATGGTCAAAGCTGGTAGGCAGAAGTACAAAGAGCTACTCCTCAGAGATTTCGAAAGCAACCCTAAACGCTTACATGCATATATAAGGAGCAAGCAGAGCGTCAGTAACAACATTACATCGCTTGAAACAGTCAATAGAAACATCACAACCGATACCGGTGATATATGCGCATCTTTAAATGACTATATTCAATCAGTCTTTGTTTTAGAGCCCGAAGGTTCAATGCCAGGCTTTAAAAGTCGTACAGAAGCAGCTTGTGTCATCGATCCATCAATTTTCTCTATCGACATTGTACAAAAATGCCTAAACAACCTTGATCAAAGAAAATCAACCGGCTACGATGGCTTACATCTACGGGTCCTCAGTAAATGTTCAGCTACCTTTGCCAAGCTTCTTTCACTTATATATAAACGCTCGTTTGCAACTGGTGTAGTTCCTGACTTGTGGAAAAAATTGAATGTAACACCTATTTTTAAGAAGGGGAGTAGGCTAAAAGCATCCAACTACCGGCCAGTCTCGCTCACTTCCATACCTTGCAAAATTATGGAAAGTATTTTACAAAAAAGAATAATGGAACACTGCGTTGCTAATGGACTAATTTCTCCAAACCAGCATGGCTTTGTTCATCGTAAAGGATGCGTATCAAACCTTTTAGAAACTCGGGACATCATGACGGAAGCAACTCACTGCAGACACGCAGTAGACGTCATTTACACAGACTTTGCAAAGGCGTTCGACAAAGTACCACATAAACGCCTCCTTTATAAGCTGAAAGCGTACGGTATTCAAGGCGCTCTCGTTGATTGGATTGCAGCTTGGCTAAACAATCGATGTCAACAAGTGGTTATAAACAGCATTACTTCTAAATGGAAAGCAGTCAATAGTGGAGTGCCTCAAGGCTCGGTCTTGGGCCCATTGCTATTCGTAATCTTTGTAAACGACCTGCCGGACAGAATTACTCATCATATGAAACTGTTTGCCGACGACAGCAAAATAATAGGGATAATTAAAAAGGAGTTGGACAGCATCACTCTCCAAGATGACGTTGACAGAGCAGTGGAATGGTCACACATTTGGCTCTTGCATTTCAACGTTGAGAAATGCAAAGTAATGCATGTTGGGCGCGGATGTAACTAGTCGACGTACAAATATTCAATGTTTAACGTCGACGACACCCGTCGTCCTCTCAAAAAAACCGCAGTCGAAAGAGACCTTGGTGTGATGGTCTCGAATGATCTTAAAGTCAGACCGCAAATAGAGTCAGCCGCATCAGTAGCAAATAGAATGCTAGGACGACTCAAAAAAACATTTCGCAGTCGCAGTTTTTATTTATGGCGCACTCTGTATCTCACTTACATTCGCCCCCATCTTGAGTTTGCTGTACAAGCCTGGTCACCGCATTTAAAATCAGACATTACCATTCTCGAGCAGGTCCAACAACGAGCAACAAAAACAACATCGACTACTAAACACCTGTTCTATGAAGATCGACTCCAACGGCTTGGTTTAACAATTCTTGAAGAACGTCGCAAAAGAGCAGATCTTATCGAGCAATTCAAAATCATTCGTAAACTCGAGCTTGTCAGTTTTGTTGTCCCGCAAAAATTTTCAAAAAGTAAAGATAAGTATATTCTAAGAGGCCATAACCATAAACTAGAACGTCAGATGGTAAAAAACTGTGAGGAGCAATATAACTTTTTTTCAAACAGAATTGTTGCCCCATGGAATGCGTTTTCGCAAGAAGCAGTGAACGCTCAATCCATCAACGCTTTCAAAAATAACATAAGAAAGTAACTTTATAGATACAACTGCTGCTTTGTATGTAGCGTTTGTATCTCCATGTTCGTCAGCATATTTGTATTTGATCACTGAAATAAATAAATTAATATATATATATATATATATATATATATATATATATATATATATATATATATATATATATATATATATATATATATATATATATATATATATATATATATATATAACGGTGAAAAGTGCCACTCTCAGATTAAAAATGTCAACTTCTCTAAATTAAAAAAAATTTGTGTGATGACATATTTCAGCAACATTATTTAGGTTATATTCAAAGATATTATTTGAACTCAAAGTTGAGAATATCTCTATATTTTATTTCGGAGCCATCTTAGTTTTATTTTACCGTTTTATTTTAATTTTTGTTATTTCCTTGACGGATTCAGTAGTAAGCAGCAAGCCATGCACCAAAATAAGGTTTTAATATTTTTGTGGTTACATATTTTGCGGATTTTGCGGTTTTTTATTGCGGATATATTTGCGGTTTTAATATTTTTATGATGCAGATAGATACGCGTATCCATAATATGCAGATAGATACGCGTATCCATAATTAGCGCATAAATACGCGTTATAAAGAGGTTAAGTTATTTGTAAACGAGTGTTTAAAACTTCATTTCAGGCTTAAAAAACATTTATAAATGTTAAAATAATTTGTGTAAATAGTCAATAAAATACTATTTTTCTAAATTAAATAAAAGTTTAAAATCATACAACATTTTTGGTTTTCGGTATAATTTTCAAACGAAATTTTGCTTCTATAAAAAGTACTGAAAGTAAAATTTTGGTTTCGGTTCAAATTGAAAATTCGGCTTAAATCGATAATGAAACAGAATTTCGGTCGCATAATACTTTTACTTTTTTTGAATAAAAAAATCACTAGACAAATGTTGAATGGCAAAATTTTGTTAATCATAAGAATCCTTTATAAGTCTTAATTAAAAAAAACAATAATGCTTGTTTAAAATTGGTATTTTTGTTTTTTATGCTATCTGATCTTCAGATAGCATAAAAAACAAAAAATCTAAGTTAAATAAAAAGATGGAAATCGCCATAGTAAAACAAACATTTGGAGTAAATAAACAAACAGTTAGTATAGTGTTTCAATGATTAGCGAAATTTAAGTTTATTATCCATTGCATAACAATTTAACGTATTCAGTTTATTCTTAGTTCAGATTCTGAATTCTCTAAATTCTCAGTTCAAAAGTTCAGATGCGGAACTTAAAATAAACTGAAGACATTAAATTGTAATGGATAAATAAACTGAAGACGTTATAAGTTATTGTAATTAATTTTCAAAAAATAGCACAAGTAACGTAAAACCCTTGGTTATTTGCAAGATTACCGCGTTTTAATTTATGATAAGAATCAACGGTCTTATTTGTATAATACTTTTACTTTTTTTCATATAATACTTTTATACCTTAGTAGATTTTATTGCATTACAATACATTTTTAACCACTTTATTATAATATATGACTAATTTGTATTGACAGGGTTGACAACACCAGAGGGGCCAGGAGGCAAAAGCCGCCTATTTTTTTACTAAAAGACCTTTTTTTTTTCTTTTTTGAAATTTAAAATACTTGCCTGGATATACTTTGTATGCTGCAGGAATTCGTTCAACAGATAGGGTTTTAAATTTTTTTCTCCGTTCTTTTTTACTAAAGAAATTAGTTCACGTTATAAATACTTTGCATTTAAAGAAAATTTTCGATAATTAGTGATTAAATTTAAAATAATTCTTTAAATCAAAAATCAACCAGTTGATGAAAAAACAATCTATTTGTTGAATGAAATAACTATCCTAACTTAACTGAAATAATAATGTCTAAAATATTATAACCTGTCAATCTAAAAAGTTTAAATGAGCAGAAATTTACGTAAAAAAAAGATTACATAACCCCAACAGACAATTTTGTATTGAAAAACTGACTAGCCTAAGAAAATTTATCTTGATTTAGATCAAAGTAAACGCACTTAATATTAACCTCGCAATTGATAACATTCGAAAAAAATACGACTTGAATATTCAAGTCGTATTTTTTTTCGTTATATTTAAAAGCAAACGCATCGCAAGTAAGATATTTAGTTTACTTATTAAGTACTTCAATGAGTTTTTTACTTTAAATAGAAATTTCAGTCAACAACAAAATTTAATTACGAGTGGATAGCTTAACTGCTTCAAGTACCTTACTTTTTCAATAACAAGCATGGAAAAAAAATAACCAGCTGTGATTGCGAGAAAATATATTTTAATATTAAAACCGTTCTATAAAAGATAACGAATTTAAACTTAACACAATTAAAGCTCACGCATATTCATTTGCTTTTGTAATGGATAAAATTGAAGCTCGAAGAGTTCATGTTTTATTTACTCAAGATCAAAACGCACAGATCTTGACGGCGATAATAGCTCAATGGGTTTCCAGACAAAATAATTCAATAAGTTACCTTAATCACCAGACAATCACGCGCCAGATTAAATTGACCAACAGCGACAAAACGCGACTTTTAAAATGGAATTATCAAAAAATAAATGGGCAATATAATAAAAAAGTCATCGTGTCTTGATACAATTTGACCAGCAAAAGATATACAAGATGTCCTTTTTTTCTTTGTTTACACAGTATCTATGATATAGCCAAAAAACTGTTTACATTTATCGTAGCTTATAAAATATTGGCTGAAAAATGTCAACAAAACATCATCAGGTGCACATTTAAAAATCATATATATATATATATATATATATATATATATATATATATATATATATATATATATATATATATATATATATATATATATATATATATATATACAAACTTAACTGAATGCATCTATTTCATAAGATTCACTGTAGCGCCCGGTAAAAGCAAAATAAAATATTACAAATATCAGTTTTGAAAGAACTACAGTGGAGTCAAAACTCATAGATTCTGGTTTTTGAATAAATCAAATAAAAAAAAACATCAAGACAAGAAACTTATAAATTAATAGAAAAAAGAAAAGCAAAAAAATGCAGTAAACAGAAAATAAACTTTAAAAAGAATCATTAAAATATTAATTAGCTAAACATAAGCTTCTTGTTTTTTATAACAAAAGAAAGGGACTTGTCCCAAATATAAACTATATAAATATTTACAAAATCTGCTCCATCAGGCAATAAATTCTGTAGAGTAAACAATATAATAACAAAAAAAAAACATGTTAAATAGATTAGCATGATTTCAAGATGAAGTTCATAGATTGTTGATTGGTAGAGGACTGCAGATAGCTCAACTTGCTTAATTCCTTGTCTTGTTTTTTTTGTTGTTCTTTTAAATGAATTTTCATGTGACGCCGTCGTTCATCTGAACGTGCAAATCGACGACCACATATATCACATGCAAATGGCTTTTCACCTGAAATAAAATCAAAACAAACGCATAACAATCTTTAAAAATGTTTTTCAAAGAATTTAAAAGTCTTCTTATCTCTATCAATATAATGAAAAACACATGTTTGAAAAAACCATCTTTAAAAAACATTTTCAGGTTCCACACAGCTTTTGAACATTTAACAAATTTCGACCACGAAAAGAGCAAAATTAAATGAAAATTCTAATAATAATTTTATATAACAAAGACAACAACCTTTAAAAAAAACACTGAAAAGTGTTTCTTTGTTGAAAAAAATGAGTTATGCAGTTCTAAACCTATAATTTTTTGATAAAATGATTATTTTTAAATTTTAACCTAGCCCCTTGAGACCTAAAGTTGTCATTTAAAGAAATATTTGTGACTTTAAAAATGGAGATGTGTTAATTGTTCCTGGATCACACAGAAACAATTAAATAACATTAAATTTAATATTATTTCAATATATGTTATATATATATTATATAGCATGTATATCAATATAAGTTATATATGCATTATATAGCATGTAAGTTTTACTTTTTAAAATAGATTTAACTTCCACTATTAATAGAGAAAAAGTTTTTAAATGATTCAAATTAAAAAAAGTAAAAAAAGCTATACAATTTTAATTAACAATTATATGTTAAATTAATGTATTCAAAAAGAAAGGTCATTACTTCAAACAACAGCTGTAAAAAAAGTAATTCTTTTTGACTTTTTTGACTTTATATAAAATTAACATTGATGTAAGTTCAGTGTAGTTTAACATTTAAGAATAATTAAGCAATTGCTTACATTAAGTAAACTAGAAAATATATCCAGCTAGAGTATACAAAATCTTTTTAATAATTATTTACATAAATTGGTAATTTCTGACAAGCAGTATATAAAATATTATTTATTAAAATATTTATTATCTTTTTTACTTGTTAAAAATATGTGAAGTAAATCATCAAATGAAGATCAGGTTTAGAACACCATGGATGTTCAGAATTAGGGTCAGTTTACCCTAATCCATACCATAACCCTAACCTTGACAATAACAGGTGCATTTATTCCAAATACACTAACCCAGATTCAGATCTATTTGTGACAAATGCAAAAAATGAAGCAAATTATTAAATTTTTTGCTGCTTAACTGAAAGACCTAATTTATTTATTAGTTAAATTAAAACAAACATAAAAAAGTTAATACACAATCAGCATTTTAGTTTAAAATATTGGTTTTACCATTGATATTCCATTACAAATGTATACAAAAATTTCCTAAAAATTGCAACAAAAATCTTACCAGTATGTGTTCTTATGTGTGTTGTTAGGTGATCTGATCGAGAGAAGTTTCTCATACATATTCGACACTGAAATGGTTTTTGTCCAGTGTGAGTTCTCATATGTCTTGTTAACTCATCTGATCTTGAAAATCTTCGTGGACAATTATCAACTGGGCAGGCATAAGGACGCTGATTTAAAGGTATTTTTGTTGATTTTATTGGTTCAAAACACCTTTCTTTTAGTATATTAAAATCTGATTGACAATTCAAAGAATTAACAAGAGCAGATGAATTTGGAATGTCTATAGGATGAGATATTTGCTTTAGCGGATTTTGAAAAGCTGAAGCTTGATTTGTTTTTAAATATTTCATATTCTCTTGTTCAGTTTGAGAGATTTTGCTAATTATAGACATATAATTTTGATCAGCTTGTTCTTGTTGATTTGCCAAAAACTGCAAATGAATTTTTTCAATAAGATATTTTTGTTTCTCAAGACAACTTTGCATGTTGTCATATAAAACACATTGCCCAAATGAACTCTGTTTTAACTGATCCACATTTTGAGGATGGTGTTGGAACTCTACACCATGAGACATACACCACTGTTCTTGCTTTTGTATATTCTGCTGCTGAGTCCACCAGTTTGAAGTTTGGTTTCTACTGTAATGGTTAAAGTTAGTTGGCGAAGAAGATTGGCATGACAGAGGTGAAGAAGAACGATAAGGAGATCCAACTGAGCTGCTATATGAAGATTCAGCAGAGCTGCAATAAGAAGAACCATCTGATGTATAATTGGGAGGACTAGGTGGATTATAAGCAGGTGAAGGGTAATCATAAGAACTTGATTGACAAGAAAATGAAGAAGGACTGGGAACTTGATCTTGGAAAATATCATGCTCATGTTTAACATTTGATTTTGATATATCCATGCTTGAGTTAATACCCATGTAAGATTCATAGTCATCTAAAAAAGGTTTTACATAACTTGAATAAAAACATAATTTAGATCTTTACAACTACAATTTTAACTATGATAATTTAATAAGTCAGGACGTTAATTTAAACTATTTTTAACAAATATAACTTTAATTGCACTTTTATTGAAAAAAAATCAAACCCTTAAGCACTTTATCACTAACGTAAAAGAATAAGTCTGCGTAAAACTACAATTTATAAACAGGCTTTTATACTTACTAAACTCATCTGATAAATCTAACTCTTTTAAGTTATCAACATTAGGCACTGCTTGAGAATTTAAATCTTCTAGATATATAGATGATTGGTGGCATGATGGGACAGATGAGGAATGAAGCAAGCTGCTTGAGTTGTCATAACCAAGAATTTGGTTAACTGCAGCTGATTGAAAATAGATTTCAAAATTTGAGGCTTCCATGATAATTCTTTATTATAACTTACTGACCAGCAGTGTTATTTGCGGTATCGACCAGCGATCCGACTTAGTATTTTCTTTCTAATTTTTACGTGTTAACAACGAGCCAGCGTTGATTATTCTGAAGTTAAGAAATTCAGGGCGATAAGATAGCTTTCAAGAAATCACATGTGGGGAAGTGCATAATATATTAAGCAAACCAATAAAATTTCAATATTACTATTCCGACAAAGAAAACTTTTTACCTATCAATCAAAAGGCTTAATTGTTTAATTAATAAAACACAAAAGATGACGGAGAACATTTCATATTGGAATTTAGTATTGAGAGAATACTTGTGTACTTTTATTAAGTTCAAGTATACTTCTAAATATCAAGCTTATCTTTATAAAAATTAGATTTATCTCGAATCCAAGTAATTAAGCAATGGTATCATTTTTATGTTTGATTATTGAGAGAAAAAAAAAAAGTTGTAATCTATTACTGTAATTCTTTGATGCGATAAAAGGTCACTAATAATATATTTTAAGAGCCGCTTGTGCAAATAGTTTTAGAAATTTATTTTAAATTCACAAAGCTTTCTTTTTGCTTTTTATTTATTATAGTACTATAAATGTTGCATAGTGTTATATACTTTAACAATAAAAACACTTTTGTTTATGTTACTTAAAAGTCAATAGAAGCGTAAAAATGCAAAATACCTACAATTGCGTCTTTATGCGACTTTGACGCAATATGGTTTTTTTTTTATAACTTATTTAAATGAACTTTATCGCGAAAACTCTAATTCATAAAATTGATTTAAATAAATATTCATTTTTAAACATTTTTCAATAAAGGACAATTATAGAATGAAAAACATTCTTTAAAAATACATCTTTTGAAAATCACAATCCATTAAATATCAAAATCTCATTAAATATTCTTAAAATGTCATTGGAGTTGTGTCATTTTCTATATATAAACCAAGACAACATTGTTTTTTTCATTTATTTAAAAAAATCATTTTAATGTTTTTTAATTCTAGACTGTTTTTTGTAGTTTGATATTTTTTAAAATTCTACTCAACGAACTAATTTTTTTATAGCTGTTTTGAAAAATTTAAAGTAGTCCATAAAAGTTCCTAACATTTTCAAATAATAATTGAACCTTAAAAAAATGACTAAAAAGCACTAAAATAATTGTAAAAGTTTGAAATAAAGAAACCGGTACAGTATATTTATGTTATAGTCTATGTATAATATATATGTGTGTATTACTTTAAAAATTTGTATATGACCGTAGTCGTTTATTCAACCAGAAAGGTTTCACAACATTTTACCTTAGAAAATTATTTTATATTGATTTTTACAAACTTTAATGCTAAAACTCGACATATTACCTTCAAACAAAACCTGTAAAAATGTCTTTTAATGGCTTTAAAATTTTTTTTTTTTCATTTTTCTATTTACAATTGCTACGTTTAAAAAAAAAGGACTTTGTACGTCATTTCTTCTTTGCACGATAAGTTTTCAAATATACGAGTACAAGACGTAAATAATAATGAAATTGCTTTAGGAATACCAAGTTTAGTTGGTTACTGGAGTAAAAAAAACTACATTTGAATTGGTTACTGGAGTAGACACAGTGTGTTTAACATTCGAAATTTCCCTTAAATAACATTACATTTTTTAGCAGAAAAAAACGCTTTTTACGCGAATTACAATTTTTTTCAACCTCTAGTAATACTACGCATTCAACTTCAATTATTGAAAAATCGGTACGAAAATAGAGATGAATGTATATTTTTTAAGCTAGATAAACTAAACCGAATTTAGAAGAGTCACTTATTGCTGATAAAGTAACATTTACAAAGGCTTTGACCGATATAAATCGTCTAAGACAACAATCTGTATTTACTTTTTGATAAATAATTGGATAAATTCCCGACGCAAAACTATATATCTTTTTTCAGGTTTTATGATACAAATATGATTCTTATCATAAAACCTGAAAATGTCAAACTATTAGTTCATTGTCAGAACAACAGGTAATAGTGACTTTTTTTTCTCACAGAGTTGACAGAATAAACATCAGAACTGCCTTTTTAGCAAATATATTTTTAACTTTTAGATTTAGTTCAAAGCTTGTTTTTTCAAGGCTCATTAAAACAGTTTGTTTGTTGAGATGTTCCTAATATTTGCTATCCATTAAATTAATTCATAGATTTTTCTTTTTGAAACATTCGCTGCTGCTCTACTCAAAGATTCTAATGATTTCTCTTAATGCTAAGTTGCTGTTTTACTTTAACGTATTTTTAATTCAGGATGCACTACCCAGAATGCACTACCCAGCAAACATTTTTGTAATGGATTTGCACTAGACCTATATAAGAATTTTAAAACTCCGCAATGTTTGCTGGGTAGAACAAATGTTTTATATATATATATATATATATATATATATATATATATATATATATATATATATATATATATATATATATAAACACACACACACATACACAGGCATATATAAATATGGAGTTATTTTTGGGGGAAGAAATTAATTTTGGGGGTAAACAATTTTGCAATTTCAGAGAAAGAAAAACATTTTTCAAAAATTTAAAACCACATCTTGGATCATCCAAAGAAAATCCTAACCAAAAAATTTCAAAATTTATTAAACTCATTACAATACACTTGTTCGCAAAAAACGGGCAAAAAAAATATTTTATATGACTAACTTTAACCTTTAGTTTGGTAAACTCTTTGATAAAAATAAACCAACAAATTCTTTATATGGATCATTCTGTTTTGTCTTGTTTTTACTTTCCTGTATACATACTCCATATTAAAATTATCAGTTTAACACAAGTTGAAATACATTTCTACTTAAAAGAAAAAATGTTTAAAAGACATAAAATATTATTTGCAACAAAGATTAGAGAAAACAAAGATTTTTTTTCTTTCGAAAACTTAGTAAGTTTTAAGAAATAAATTACCTAGCCGCCACATCTAGTTTCATTTTCAAAGTTAAAACCTGAATATCAAGAATAGGTTTTGGATTTATTAAATATCTATTACTATTTTCCGAAACACCAATTATGGTATTAGTTTTATAATACTTAGTATTATAGTATATATAAATATATATATATATATATATATATATATGTATATATATATATATATATATATATATATATATATATATATATATATATATATATATATATATATATGTGTATGTATATATATATATATATATATATATATATATATATATATATATATATATATATATATATATATATATATATATATATATATATATATATATATATATATATATATATATATAGATAGATAGATAGATAGATAGATAGATAGATAGATAGACAGATAGATAGATAGATAGATAGATAGATAGATAGAAAGATAATACTAAGTTTCCAAAAGGAATGTGAAACCAGTAATAAAAGCATCCGATATTTAACCTCACAAAACACATATTAAAATTGAGTAAAATTATCCGTGAAACTAACTTGTTTTTGGTTTATGCCTGGATCGTGACGAACATGCGTCTATACAGGTTTTAATTCCGAAAGTGAATCTAAATGTGCCAGCCGGGTATATGGTAGAGAAATGGATTACTTACAAAGAGCTACAAATAAAGTTTGTTATATGTTTAAAAAAACTATAGACAGTTTTTGCGTTATCGATATATTGATTACAAAAAATTTTATAACTAATGATTTAATACGCTATCATAAAAAAAAAATTTTTCGCAGTTAATAGGTTTTCAAAAAAAAAAATTTAGGTTTTCAAAAAAAAAAAATTTTGAAAAATGGTTTTTAGAAAATAAGTTCAGAAATAACAGATTTAAGTTAACAATTTTTTTTTTCACTTAAATCGGATTTTTAGATTTGTTTTTTATGTTAATATGTGATTTTTATTGCAATTTTTATGTCGCAAAAATTATTTTTTTTCAAGGAGACTACAACAAAGTTAGACCATGTTGTCTTAAACATTGTTGATAGCAAATTGTTCAAATAAGGAACTATTTTCTGTCTAATCTATATAAGATTTAATTAGTCTATGTTTTCAAAAACTTAAAATTCTTTGCTTGGTTTTTTGAAAATATCGTAAAACTTTCTACTTCTTTATAATAGATGTTTTGAACTTATTGTCCAGTCCACATTTTTAATGTAGATTTTGAACTTATTATCACTCCACATTTAGTGTTCATGTTTATTAGTGTTATGAGTCATATCACGATCGTTTAACAGTTTCGTTCTTAACTTATGACCGAAACTAAAATTAGTTTCTAAGTTAATTAAAAAAACCGTAACTCATATTAGTCGACTAACTTTTGTTTAACTAACTTTTGTTTAATTAACTTTTGTTTAACTAACTTTTGTTTAACTAACTATTTACTTCGATTAAAATTAGTCAACTAACTTTTTAGCTCGACTAAAATTAGTCAACTAACTTTTAGGTTTGACAAATATTTGTCAAATAACTTTATGACTATACTGAAGTTGATTTGACTAAATAAACAGAAAGCCGATTACATTTAGGTGACTAATGTCTTGAATTAAACTAGTTATATTTTTAAAATTTTTAAAAGTTGTTTATATTTAATTTATTATTTACCAAATGCTTATGCTAATAGATCAGTAAAGTTACATCCTCTGAAGTCACATCCAATGAAGTCACATCCACTGAGGATCTAGATCCATTACAACAAAGATTTAAAAGACACTAGAAACCCCAGCAAACATAGTATAGCGGAATTTCAACTAATTTTAGTCAAACTAAAAAATTAGTTGACTAATTTTAGCTAAACTAAAATTACCCTTAGCTTCCATTCCTAATGTTTTTGTCACAAAGTCATAAAATATCTAAAGGATACACATCTTAATTTACAATCTTTTCCTTTCCATTTACTTTTTATCACGTGTTCAACTTACGGCCACCGTATCTATGTAAATTGTTTCGAGTCAGTTTAAAGTATGGTTTGGTTTAGTTTCCAATGAATCTAAACCTTACTATTTCATTAAACTTTTTTCCTCTTATCTAGAATGATGGTGAAAAATTTAAAAACGGGTTTTTTATTTTTATTGTTATTATTATTATTATTATTTTTA